TCATATGGTGATCAGAAAGCAGAGACAGACTCCACTCATCAGATACAAATATATGCCCCAAAGCCATGCCCTAATTCCCTCCTCTTCTAGCCACATCATACCACTTCAGTTAGCACTCAGTTAATCCCTATCAGGGAATCAATTCACTGATTAGGTTAAGGCTACAGCCCAATAATTTCTYCTCCAAACCTTCTTGCATTGTCTCACACATGAGCTTTAGTGGGACACCTCACATCCAAACCATAATACCACCTTATCCCATTGTCAACTCTGCAACTTCCTCATGTCTGCGCCTCTTCTTTTGCAGTCCCTSCTATGCAGTGCATGAACTGTCCCTGCTGTTAAGGGTAGTCTTTCCTCTGCAATAGATTCATTTCCTCTGTCTTCTTCAAGACATGGCTCCTTTAATTATCCCCTTTTCCCACTCTTATTATCAGTGTCTCCCTATCATTGGGATTGGATGGATCATCCCATCAGCACAATATCTATAATATTGTCTGTATTGTCCGTCTTGAAAGAAAACACTGGCTACATACGTTCTCTTACAAGAAGACACCTTTTAAAAATGTGTATATTTACTCTCTGCTTTTTCATCTTCTGTTTTTTTTCCTTTACCCAGTGACATCTCCTGATTCCAATGACTTCCATCTTCCTACATGCAGTGGCCAATTGTCCTTGTTTACTTCACCTCTTAGCACTGTTTGACACAGTAGGCCACTTTCCCCTTCTTGAAACATCTTGGGTTTCTCCTTTCTTCCCCAGGGCAGCTCCTTTTATGTCTTTTTGCTGACTTTTCCCTTTCTTCCCCATCTTTAAATTTTGAAGTGCTCTAGGACTCTRTTCTTGGTGATTGTCTCTTCTGTGCATGCTTTTCCATTGGAGCCCTCATCTTGGATTTAAATTTAGTGACTTCTTCATTTTATCTTCATACTTTACCTTATCTGTGATTGTTATATTTAGCTGCCTACTTAACATGTCCATTTGGATATCTAATAGGAATTTCATAACAGAACATTGATTCTTCCTGCCTCTACTCTTCATCTTCTTCATCTTCTTCATCTCAGTGAGTAGCACCTCCACTCATCCATTATTCAAGCAAAAAGTCTAGAAACCATTCTTGTCCTTGCCTTCCTTCACTTTCTGGGGCAAAGTATGAGTAAATCCTGATGGTCATCTTTGAACTGGGCTCTCTCCTTCTACTTTTCTTACTTTCCCTCTCCTTTCTTTATGCTTCTTATTTTGAAAAGCTTTAAGCATTCAAAAGCAGCAATATAATATAGTGAACCCTCCACATACCCCCACCCATGTTTCTTAGTCATTGACTTGTTGCTTCTATTATTTAAAACTTAGATCACGTTATGCTTTTTTTCTATTATTTAAAACTCTCTTAGGGGCTTCTTATTTATTTAGAATTAAGTCACAGCTCCCTTTCATGTCTTCATGGTTATTTATGATCTAGGCCTTTCCYCTTTCATCATGTCTTCCCTCCCTGCATTAAGTTCTGGACATAATCTTCTCCTCTTTGAGGTACAGAAAAGGAAGCTCAAGTTCAAAAAGGGCAGGTAGCRTAGACAGGCTCACACAGTTGGCCTAGTATCTAGATTTTCTCATTCCAGACTCCAGGGTATCACATTGCTTGGAATTCTAACCTTAGAAATTGTATGATATTACAGAAAACATGGGACTCTGAAGTCATAAAGACCTGGTGGCAAAATTTGACTGTTGTTTATCATCTTTGAGCCTCTTCCTCTTATCTAATGTAGGGCTAAATAATATATCACTCTTGCTTCTACTGTGAAGATTCAATAAAATAAAAATGTAATGTAATGTACCCATTCAGTTAAGACTTAACCAATCCCCAMCCTGTTTCTCCCCGCAAAACATACCCTTATGCCTACTTGAAAGATGGATTAAGGGGAAGAAAGATAAAATAATTAGTACTTTATATTTATGCTTCCTAAGATTTTCATGTTATTCGTTTATTTTTTCCTTCCCACAGAGATTTGTGTGGWGAGAAGCAAACCATAGGTGCATTACTCACTAAATACTCACGTTCTTCAATGCAAAATGGAGTTAAAGTTTATAATTCAAGAAGACCCATTACTTAAAATTTGAACAAGAGTTTCTTCTTTGGAACTGAATTGCTTTATAAAGTTGCTAGATATAAGAAAAAAGATTATTTTATGTATTTTTATTTTGGCTTTTAAAAACCTACTCCTTGAATGCATTTTTTGTTCTCATCTTAATGTTTTGAAACTATTACTACTTACTTTTTAAGTGTAACAGGATATTTCAGTATTCTTCAGATTACATTTGTTGTATGTACTCAGTGTAAACAAGGGCACAAGAAAGTATTATTTCCTATATTTAATAGAAAAGTAGTTCTGTAGTCTCTGATGTCTACATGGTTCTATTTATAGAAAGGACATTGCTTTTTGTATATAAATTTCACACCTTTAGTTAGGATTTGATGTTCTCATTATTTAAAAGTTTTCTAGATAAGAAAATAAGTGTCTAGAAGAGATCTAGTCACTTACATGCTATTTCTCAATTGAGTTCTTCTCTACTTTCAACCTTTCACAGAAACAGGATGTCACTAGGTGCTATCAAGTGTATTGTTAAGATTTGTGAAATTGGCTTGGTAATTGCTTCCCTGTTCACTTAGCTGGTATATACATGCACTTTAAACAAAATGGGTTTAATCCTCAATCTTATAGATCGGTTTATAATCCTGGCACAAATAAAACTCATTAGAAAACTACTGGTAATTTCTAGGTGGAGTTGGAATGCTTGATAAAATTTGTTTTTGTTTAGACCAAATTTTATTTTAGTTAATAAGCTTTCCAGTAGGACAGAAGGAAAGGATAGGCCAAGTTAAATCTGGTCCAAGTTTCGAAAAGTGTTAATACATAATTACAAGATTTAACTGTTACTGAAGTTTACCAGCTTTTTTCTCATGCGTGTGAAATGCAATATGATGGCTTCAAAATATGTTTTTTTCATAAGAAGATGGAAAACCTCTGATGTTCTTGGATAGGCAGAATTAATACTGTTAAATTTGCTATACTACCAAAACTCAAGGTACAGAGTCAATGCAATTCCCATCAAAATACCAATGATATTCTTTACAGAATTAGAAAAAAAACTGTCCTAAATTTCATTTGGAAGAATGGAAGTAGGTGGAACTAGAGACCATTATGGTAACAGAAATAAGTCAAACTCACAAGGTCAAGGCTTGTCTTTTGACCCAGAATAGCCAAAGCAGTTCTAAACCAATAAAGCAATGCTGGAGGTATCATAATACCTGACTTCAAAGTATGCTACAGAAATATAGTAACAAAAACTGCATTGTACTGACATAAAGACAGACACATAGACCAGTGGTACAGAATAGAAGACACAAAGACAAACCCACATACAGTCATCTGATCTTTGACAAAGGTGCCAGAAACATAAACTGGAGAAAGACAGCCTTTTAAACAAATGGGACTGGGACAACTGGTTTTCCATATTAGAAGAGGCTAGACTCTTATCTCTCACCCTGCACAAAAATTAACTTAAAWTGGAYCAAAGACCTAGGAATTAGGCTAGACATTATGCAATTCCTAGAAGAAAACATAGGGTCAACACTCCAATATATAGGCACAGGCAACCACTTTCTTAATAGGACCCTGAAGCTCAGGAAAGAATGACAAGAGTTAATGAGACAATATCAAATCAAAAAGCTTCTGCACGCTGGGTGCAGTGGCATACACCTCACCTGTAATCTCAGTGACTTAGGTTGGGGAAGTGGCTCAGCGGTTAAGTGCCACTGGTTAGCTCTCCAGCAAAACCCCACCCCCCACCAAAAAAAAAAAAAAAAGCTGCATAGCAACTAAACCCATTAAGGATGTAAAGAGAATCTACAGAATGGGGATATTTTCTCTAGCTACTCTTCTGACAGATTTWAGGTCCAGAATATATAAAGAACTCAAAAACAACAACAATAAAAACGCCAAATAAACTAATAAGTGAACAAATGATCTTAATGTCCAACATCACTAGCAATTAGGGAAATGCAAATTAAAGCTATACTGATATTTCATCTCACACCACTCAGAATGGCAGTCATCAAGAATACAAATAATAAAAGCTGGCTGGAGAGGACGTGGAGAACGTGAATACTTTTTGCACTATTGTTGGGATGTAAATCAGTACATGCACTATGGAAATCAGTCTGGAAGTTTCTCAAAGGGTTAGGAATGGAATCACCATATGATCCAGCTCTTTTACTCTTTGGTATTTATCCTAAAGAATTAGAGTCGTCATACTCCATGATACATGTGTACTCATGTTTATAGCAGCATAATTCACAATAGCCAAATTATGGATGAATGAATGAATAGAGAAAATGTGACATATACACACAATGGAGTTTTGTTCATCCATAAAGAAAAATGAAGTCATTTGCAGGAAAGTGGGTGGAACTAGAGACCATTTTGGTAACAGAAATAAGTCAAACTCACCAGGTCAAGGCTTGTATGTTTTCTATGTGAAAGCTAGAGAGGAAAAAGGAAAAGAAAGATTGGGGAAATATGCAGATCAAAGGGCGTTCAGAAGAATAAAGAGACTGGGGGAGGGGAAGAGGAGGGAAAGAGGAAATACTGAGGAATGGTATTGGTTAATTTATATTTGTGTTTATGTAAGAGCATGTAAAAAAAACCCCACCATTTTGCACAGCTATAATTCACCAACAAGAATATGAAAAATCTTTTTCAATACATTTTTCTGCATTTATGTGGATTATATGATTTTTAAACACACACAAAGGCACACGCAGCATATATTGAGTCAGCAGTGCCTAATAAGGACTCCAGGTTTGTCAGGCTACCTGTAGTATAGGGACATTACCTACAGTTTAAATCAGTGGGTACAAATGAGTTGAGTTTGTGGTGTCTCCATACAGCAAGCCGGAAGCACATCCCTCCTCTTGGTTTTGAGAAGCGCCCCCAATGTTGGCCCCTACCCTGTTTATTCTAGGCTCTTTGCAAACCTTGTTCCCCCGCACTTMACAACCTGCGAGCAGTAGACCTTTATTTAAAAACTTTAGCCCGGAGGGGTGGCGCATGCCTGTAACCCCAGCCGGTGGGGAGGCTGAGGCAGGAGGACTGCGAGTTCAAACTCACCCTAAGCAACTCAGGGAGGCACTTAGCAACTCAGCAAGACCCTATCTTTAAATAAAATGCAAAATAGGGCTGGGGGATGTGGCTCCCTGGTCGAGTGCCCCTGAGTTATATCCCCGGTACCAAAAAAAAAGAGAAAAATATATTAAAAAAGGTCGGGGATGTGGCTCAGTGGTTGAGCACCTCTGGGTTCAATCCTCAGTACAAAAAAAAAAAAATAAAAGAACTTTTAATGTCTCTTCCCTAACTGCGCTTCTCCTCTCATCCATTATTTTCTCCATTCTTCYAAGTTTTAACAATCGCAAGGAAATGAGAAAATTCCCGCGTTTTTGTCGCGCAAGCACCGCCCACTCACGGGAGACTTCCGGGTCCGCCCCCGGAGGCGTCCAACTTCCGCTGACGCCAGAGGTTAAAGGCAACCGGCAGCATGTCTGCTGGCGCTCCCTTTGAGCGGTTACACAGAGGAGCGTCCGTGTGACAGAAGCTGGACGCAGGAGGCTGAAAGGAGCCTAGTCTATCGGCGGAGCCGGGTCTGGGTGCCCAGGGTGTCCCGGACGCGGGGCGTGACTGTCGGGGCAGGGAAGAGCTAGGCTCCCGAGACCGGTAATGCCCCGTAGCCCCCGGGGAAGCCGGGAAGCCCAGCCCCGCGGGCCGCTGTATGCCATCGACCGGTGCGGAGCCCTTCAGAATGAACAGGAAGAAAGGAGACAAGGGCTTTGAAAGCCCAAGGCCATATAAATTATAAGTATCTTTTCATTCCTCCCCCTTTTTTCTCATTATTTAGTTTGTAATTGTTTGAAACCGACTTGGTGGGCCTTGGAAACGGTGGAAAACGAGAGTCCTCTCGCTGTGATGGAAGTGGTCTTTGTAGGGTGATCATTATGAATGGCAGTGTCAATTAGCAGATATRGTTCACCATGCAGATTTAATAAATCTTTTTCTTAAAGTACTAAATTATTTCTGTCTAAAGAAATTTGTGTTTTGTGGCTGTTGCTAGATTTAAAACAAGCAAATCATTCCAGTTTGTAGGGTTTTTAAATGAAAGATTAACGTGTAATTTTTGAATTTATGTGGATTATATGATTTTTATACACACACAAAGGCACACGTATGCTTAGAACATATATTTATACTTGGATAGAGTTTGCTTTCATGTAATAATAGAAATTATTTTATCCTTTTGTATTTTTTAATATACAACCCATCAAGTTGTCTGCATCAACAACATAAATTTCCAGAGGAAGTCTGTTGTGGTAAGTTTTTTCTAAAAATTATAATGAATAATAAGTGTACCTTTCACAGTACTTGAACACTGTATATTCTTTCAGATAATGATGTTTTAAGACTAGCTAAGAATTAGAATTCAGATCTGTTTGATTCTGATGTCCTTCTGTACATTTCTCAATCCTTCTCCTCTTTTCTTTTTCCTGATTACAATTTATTTCTTTATTGTGGAGTATGAAAGCTTGTATAACCAAGCTTTTTAGAGTTGTGCATGAAATAACAGTAAGCCCATTGTGAGATCTCTTCTGTGAAAAAATTAAGATGAGTGGACTCACTTTAGTTAGCTTCTAATATGCCACTGCTTTTGTTTTCTGATCCTTGGCTGACCTAGTTTAGGTGGTATTGCTTTTTAGTGGTTTCTAATATAATATTTGAGATATGGTCAAGATTTGTAAAGATTCTAAACATTTCATTAAGTTCGTCTATTCATTTGTGGTATTTTGGGGGGGGGGTACTGGGGGTTGAACTCAGGGCAGTTGACCACTGAGCCACATCCACAGCCCTATTTTTTGTTATTTAGAGAGAAGGTTTCATGGAGTTGCTTAGCGCCTTGTGGTTGCTGAAGTGGGCTTTGAACTCTTTGAACAGTTATCCTCCTGCCTCAGCCTCTCCAGCCTCTGGRATTACAGGCCTACGCCACCACTCCTGGCCATTTGTGGTGTTTCTTTTGCAGTGTTCCTCACACCTTATTATTTACTTTGTATCTGTGGTAGAATACTTTAGGTGTATAATGTTGTATGAATTGTGTAGGAAAGGTATGAAAATTTGGAGTCTGTATAACAGGTTACTACAGTAGTCTGGTGGGGAAATGGTGACACCCTCAAGAATGATAGCATTTATGAGAATGGAATAGAAGGAGTTGACATGGTTGATTGAATTACAGTGAACATGTATGGTAGAAACTTCTTCTAAATTGTTA